CCCATCACATGGAAGACCCAATGCTATTATGGACTACTGGACTATTTTGGAGTATTTTGCTAAGTTCACACACCTATAATATTTAAATGATGGAACTAAACAAAAAAAGGGGATATAGATGAATATCCATTTTGTATCTGTGTATTCAAAATGATTAGCATAGATATATAGCTACATTCTCTTAATTCAAGGAATAGAAGCATTTGTTCTAATAATGTTTGTAAATAGGATATCATGTCTGCATCTTTTATAACAAATGACCACTAGGAAGACAGTATGTAATGTGTTAGTTATTGGAACTGTGCTACCAGTCCAATTTGAAACTGTCTCATTTCTATTTCTCAATAAAATTATGTTTAAAAAATGAGAGATAGTAGAAAGTCATGAGAAGTGACTATATTCTTCTGGTCCTTTGAATCCTAGAAAATTGTAGCTTTTCAGAACTTTTCGAGAAAGCAGGCCAGGTTGTTGAGTTTCTGGGAGAGGGTTGGGATATGGGCCTTCGTGTCGCATGGATTTTGATTTGGTATCTCCACTGGCCAGCTCTCAGCTCTTGAGTGGTCCTTCTGCACCTTTCCCTGTCCCTCTGTCCTCTGCTTGAGGAAGGGCTGAGCCACCCACAAAAGCCAAGTGGAGTCTTCCTGATGTTTGGTTTCCTTTGTGGAGCCAGAAACCCTCTATTACTGGGAGTCCCACCAGCAGTGTGCATGGTGTGGGGTTCTTCCTGGGAGGATCAGGACCCAGTGAACATGAGGAACTGTAGTCTCCGAGGAACACGTGGCGACCTTGCCCTTGGGCTAGCACCAGAGTCGCTAGGCAGGAAGACATGAGCCTTCCCACCTGAGGAACTGCTTCCTGTGGGACGGCATCAGCCAGACAGAGGGGGTGACTTGAAGTGTCCCTGAGTGGCAGGTGTACCCCTCAGCCTCTCTTTTCTCCCACACAGGGGCAGCTAGGAGGTGCAGTAGAGAGACTTTCAAGTGAGCTCTGAGAGAAAGAGGGAAGGAGAAGAACCTCTGCGGCTCCAACCCAGGCCTCGCAGCCCAGACAGGAGCCTTCCTGGCCACATCTGTGCTGTGCTGCAGAGCTCCTGTGCTGTCTCCTTATCCCTCCTGTTGGCTCCTGGGCCCCTGCCAAGGTGATCTTGCCTCTGAGCCCTCACTATTTACTGTGGCTGCATGGTTCCTCTGCCCTCAAGAAAGACACAACCAACCTGGGGAGAGAACCCTAGTTCTGCCTGGAGAACTGGAGGGTAGGGTCAAGCCACCCCTGGTTCCAGGCCGCAGTAAATGGCAGCCAGGCCACTGCCCCCATCCACCTGTGCAGGGCCTAGTCCTTGGCTCCTTCCCAGCCTCCTTTCCTGACCATGACTCCTAAGAGCTCAGTCCCATCATTTGTCTGTGAGTCCTTTGACAGCAGCTGTGTTGGTGATGGTTGTAAGGGCGAGCTGCGGCCATGGTGTAGAGAACTTGCGTCCCTCAGAGAGCAGTGTGGCTACCAGGACAGCAGTAGTGACAGGACAAGAACTTCAATCCTTACCTCAGTAATGCCCAGGGAATGGACCAACCCATTCTGAGGAAGCCACCAAGGGCTTAGTGCTGTCCTCATAGCAGGGGCAGCAGGAACCCAGGTGACAACTTAGCCTCCCACTCTCCAGTGGTGAATAAAAGAGGCAGCTCTGCCTGTCACTGCAGGAAGTCTGGCAGACTTGGAGTCCTGTGGCCTGCATGTGAGTCCATCCACCTGGTGTGCCAAGTGGCTCTGGGCTGGTAGTTTCTTTCTTTTTTTTCTTTTTTCTTTTTTTTTATATTTGAATATAAATAAACACTGCATTAACATATATTTCATAAAGAACTTCATACTTTCTATGGAAACAATGAAATTGGTGAAAAAAATCATAGGTTTCTTGTTTTCTTTTTTTTCCAAAATCTCAAAACAAGATCTTAGGAGAGTAACAATGGTTAGTACATTGTGTATTGTTACTGCCAAAGTAGTTTCTCATATTACAAGATATAGGCAAGAAATA